TCGACATGCAACTCATGCAAACCCTGAGCAACACATAACTGCACCCCAAAAAGCATGGCCTTGAGCTCCGCATGCAAACTCGTCAAGGAACCAAAGAAGCAAGAATAGCCGAAAATGAGCTTCCCTTCCCTATCTCGCACCACATCTCCGCCCCCACTAACCCCGGATTCCCTCTAGAACATCCATCTGAATTCAGTTTGTACCCTGCCGTAGGAGCCACCCATGCCACTTGAAGAATAGAAACCCTCCGTTGCATACCCACCAAAGACGAGTGAAAAGCATCCCATGACCCAAAAGAACCTTCTATCTCTGGAAAGCGGCACTGACATAATTCACACAGCTGTATGAATACCTGATGTGCCACCTCCGTACACACCACCTTCCTCCCCTCAAAAACCCCTTTGTTTCACGCTTTCCACAACTCCTAACAGACCAGCATTGGGAGTACCCGATAGACGAACTTGAGGTACTCATTGTGCCCCTGGCGCAACCACCATCGAAAAACCAGATGACTCAACGTGGAAACCCCAGCCAAATCCCCTGGACTTTCCTCGAAGCGAATCCAAATAGCCTTTGCTAACTCCCCTGTGCAGAAGGTGTGCTGGATCCCTTCCTCATCCGGCTCAAAGCAACAGCGACACCTAGACGGTCCCTGTACCCCAAACCTCCGTTGCATATCCATAAGGGGAATACGCGACCACAAAAGCCGGAGCATGAAGAAGGAAATCTTGAGGGGGCAACCTTGCAGCCAAACTTGTGAAGCTATCCAATAGTAATTAGACGACTGTATAACAATAGAGTAAGCCGAGGCTACCGAGAACGCACCATCAGCCGTTAAAGCCTAGACTATCCTATCCGTACCTCGAAAGGCAGGAGGAGAGACCTTCACCACTTGCCTCCCCAGCTCCGACTCTAACATCTGATTAAGAAGCCGCATATTCCATTGGGCCTGAGTGACAAAATCCGACACCATATGCTCATGAAAAATATCTACACGATGACACAACGCTCCTGTACCCATCCAATTGTCATGCTAGAAATCCATGGAACCCTCCCCAAGGACCCAGCCGATATGCTCCTCCGCCAAATGTTGGACCAACCTTAATCTCCTCCAATTGTAGGACTGTGAAGAGACCTCTTCTGCCAAACACGGATGCACCCCTTTACAATATTTCACTGTTAGGAATTGTGCCCATAGCGATTTCCTCTGCCGAAAATTCCATCAAAGCTTAATCGAGAATGCGTCATACACCTTAGCAATACTACGAATTCCCACCCCACCTGCTTCCAGAGGCCTGCATAACTCCCCCCAACTTATCCACTAAAACCTAGGGCCAACCTCCGATGAACCCCACAAAAAGTCAGCCATCACCTTTTCGAGAGACGCAAACACTCCCTTTGGCGGTGATGCTGCCGCTAACAAATGGATCGGCATTGAGGACAACACGCTTCTTAACAATACCAGTTTGCCCCCAGACGATAGGACCCGATTTTTCCATGAAAAGATTCTAGCAGTTACAGCATTGCAGATATCCACAAAATAATGCACTCTTCTCCTTCCAATATATAAAGGACATCCAAGGTATTTGATTGGAAACGACTTGTGCGGGAAACCCGTAACCGATCCGATCATTTCTCGGCGTTGCGGAGGCAACCTGGGGTGCACCAAAAAATAACTCTTCTGACAGTTAACCTGCTGCCCCGACAACGAACAATACCCATCGACTACCATCTTGACCAACTGCATAGAAGCTTTGAGGCCGCTAGTGAAAATGACCACATTGTCTGCATATGCCAAGTGCGTGACCATAGGGCATCCATTCGGAACTTTAAAGGGGCGGAAACTCCTATGCACCGCCAAGGCATTCAGAGAACGGGAAAGTACCTCTTCCCCAATGACAAACAAAGCCGGCGAAATCGGATCTCCCTGGCGCAATCCTCGGGTGGACTTGAAAAACCCCTGCGGCGATCCATTCACAATGACGAAAAATCACACATGTGAAATCAGCCTCCACACCATATCAATCCAAAGCTCGCTAAACCCAAACCGCCGTAGAACTTGTATCAAAAACAACCACAATACCTTGTCGTAGGCCTTCATCATATCCAACTTGAGCAACACATTCCCTCCCCGGTTGGGTTTCTTAATATCGCTCAACAACTCTTGAGCTAAGAGAAAATTGTCCGCCATCTGTCTTCCTGGCACGAAACCACTCTGCTGCGATGAGATAATCCGAGGAAGAACCCTAGCCAGATGGACAGATAAGAGTTTGGAGATGGCCTTGTTGATAAAGTTGCATAAACTTATCAGTCTGAATTGTGTAAATCCTGAGGGCAGAGAACCTTAGGCAACAATACAATGGCAGTAGCCGTAACACTTTTCGGCAACTCCGCTCCACAAAAAAAACTCCTTATAGCCCGACTTTCGCCGCCTTTCCGTCACTACTGCATGAAAGAAAGCCGTATTCCTGTCACCGTCCGCAAGCCATTTAACCCGAGCTTTCTGCCTCCAAAACTCTTCTTCAACCACCAAAGCATTGCGCAATTGAGCATGTGCCTCTTGTAGGTTTATCAGCAACTCATCTGATGGATGGTCATCATGGGCTATTTCTGCCTCTACCACATTTTGTTCTGCTGACCGAATCTCCAAGAAAATGTCCCCAAAAGAACTCCTGGACCATTGGCGAAGCGCCTGTTTCGTCCTCTGGAGCTTCTCCGATAAAACCTTGAGAGGCGAACCAGGGAGGGAACCAGACCAACACTTTTTAACCACATCCAGGAAATCAGGTTTTATTGTCCATACATTCAAGAAGCGGAACGGCGACGGCTTACCATCCAACCTCGTCACCGCAGATAACAGAAGTGGCGCATGATCCGACGAGTCCCTCCCCAAATGTTGCACTATGAAATCACTTTCCATCCTCATAGCCGCCGAGTTGAGCAACAGTCTATCTAATCGTCTCCAAACCCTAGCCATACCCTGCCTATTATTGCACCAAGTATACCTAAACCCCGAGAAACCAGCATCTCCAACCTCTGCTAATGACATAAACCGTGCTAATTCCACCCCATCAGCCTGCCTGAATGGAGCGCTGCCCCGTTTCTCCTCTGCATTCAAAATAACATTAAAATCCCCCACCAAAACCAAGGCCTTAACCTTCTGCTTCTCTCGCAATAGCTGTACCCATAGTCCTTCCCTCTCCTGGGCAGTGCACTTTGCATGAACAAATGAAAAGTATATCTCCTCAGGCAATAATTGGGAAACCACGCCCAGCGTGATGTGCTGGTCCGATTCCCCTACTGTATGACAATTAAACGAAGACTTGAACAATACCCAAACACTACCTGACTGATTTGCAACAGCCAAATCCATTCCCACCTTCACTCGAATATAATCCAAGTTTAGTAGAGATGTCTTAAGTTCACAAATTGCCACCAAAGACACCGAATAAAGTTTAAATAGTTTGCAGAGCCTTTTTAAATTAGGGGCACGAGAGACACCCCATATATTCCAAAAAAGACATCTAATCATCAGATAAGGCTAAAAAAGAATTTTTCGAAGCAATTGCTCTAGAGCGTAAAGTACGATTAGACGGAATATTGACCCGAAAACCTTTTTTCTTTGGCTGGGACAGTGCACAAACCCCATCTTGGCGCACCATTGATGATATTACGTTAGGCTCCAGGTTCAACGCAGCAACGGATGGGCCCTCACCACCCAACGACACCGTTTGAGACTCTCCTCTCGGTGACAGATTACCTACCCGCCCCTGCACTGCTCGAAGCTCCTCCTCTCTTGCCAAAACATCTACAAGACCCATGTGAATCTCTACCGCTCGCTATTCTGCAAATCCCATGCGCACAACACTACCACTGATTACTTACTCCTGGCTCGATTCCTGCCCACCCAACAACACCACCTCAACTCCTTCAACCACTATTTCACCAGTACCGCAGAGCTCTTGCTCCTGGTTCAATCCTGCCACCCAACAACAACACGTCCTTGATAGGAGCCGCAAGAGGTTGCTGAACAACCTCATCCGCTACCACTGCTTGCGGCTCCGCCAACGCAGTCGTAGCACTAGCAGACTGGTGCTTGGACATCCCAACACCAACCACCACTGCTTGAGGCTCCGCCAGCGCTTCCGTCCCAGCCTGTTCACTCTGCGGACCCATGCCCTCAACATTCATCGCTGCAACCTCCTCAGCTGCTACTGTGTTTACCGAGCCCGACGCCACCTTGTCGGCTTGGATCCCCCCTCGCTGCCTCTGCCTGGGCCTGATGCCCCCCTCCGCAGGCTGTCCAGTCCCCTCCCCATCTCCCCCCACCTTGACAGGCCTCAGCGCTGGATGCAACACATGGCAACCCTCCTCCGTGTGCCCCTGCCTGAAGCAATGGGAGCAATATGAGGGAAGGTTTTCCGGCACCAGCTCCTGCCAGAAACTGTCATTCTGTCCATTCCCAATCCACACCCTCGAAGGCCTGTGCTTCATCAAATCCACCTCCACACAGACCCTTGCAACGCTAGGTCTCGAGACCGCCAAAGTTGCAGCATCAACAAACAGAGAAACGCCAACCTCCTCCGCAATTTGAAATAGTGTTTCCTTATAGAACAAATGTAAGGGAAGCTTGGGCATCTGGAACCACACCGGGACAATGGACGACTCTCGATCTACATGAAATGATGGAGTCCATTTAAAGACCCTCATCGGATGGCCATGAACATACCAAATCCCCCTTGCCCACACTCTGTGGAAATCAGCATCAGAATGGAACTACAGCAGCACATGGCGTGCATCCAACAGGCCCACAGTCGTTGGGTCACGCAAATCTAACTTGAGCAGAAAACCACATACATCCTCTAGCTTCGGTCGACCCCTTGAGAACTTGCCCACCAATGCAAGTCAGTATGGAGCAGCAAGTTTCTCCATGGTTGCTTGCGAGAATATCAACGCTGGCTCTCCTTTGTGTGTAGAGGGCATCGCTTGGATGGACAGCGATGGCGTGGCTGAGTTGCTGGAAAACAATGCAGCAAAAGACTTACGGAGAAAGGTTGGAGATGAAAGTGCCTAGCCCCCTGCAGGAAGCTGGAGGTCCTCCATGGTCGCGGCCATGCAAACCCTAGCAGCCGCCACCAACCCTAGAAAAATATCTAAAAAAAAAAATTTCAATTCGATAATATATTTCTTTGCCTTTCTACGCCTTTTAGATACTAATATTTAAATTTGCTATAAATGTGTTTGTATTTAGAATTTAGAATTTTCAATCTTGGTTTTCTTGTTTAAGTTATTTGGGTAATTCGCTTGTACGGTGTTTTCATGAAATTTGAATTATTAAGATCGTCTCTTTTATAAAAGAAAAGGTTTTAACCAAGTATTTTATATTCTCCTCATCTTACCTTTTCACTTTAGAGTTAACTAAGAAAGTCTCTTTGCAAACAACCAAGAATTTAAGAATTTGTTCTTACGAGCGTTATTTTGAAAATTTTATATCTTTCTCTTAAAAACTTCAAACATTTTGATTTTTGTTATAAATCTATATTTTCTCTTTGTGGAGAGAAATAAACCCAAGAGGCTTATTATATCTGATGTAAGGTTTGAATTTATCGGAGTAAGTGACTAGGGGACTACGATAAGATATTATTGAATTTAAGGTTTATCCTTTGGTATTTTGATATTTGTATACATTTGTATTGAACTGGTTGTAATTTTTTTTTTTGAAATTATTGATTACTTGAGATTTCTTTCTAACCATTTTCAAAGATTAATAGGGTTAAGGTTCAGTAGGACAAAATTACTGCGTTGTTAAGATCTTATAGAATTTGATATACGAGACATTGAAATTCATTGAGAGTACTTAGGGACCAGTGGGATATTGAGGTAAGAATTACATGATTTGTTCTTGGATTGGAATACGTAGATTGATAAATTTCTTGAGGTGATTTTTATTACTTATGATTGACTTATTAATGAGGCAATTGAATTTGCGAAAAGCGTGAAAAGATTATCATCATGCTCCTCGTGAAAAGATTAAGGATACACGACTTACGTGATATCTAGTGTGGAATAGGTTTTACAATTCTTAAGAGTGGGATGCAGAAGTGATATCTGGAGTTTTCGAGCTAAGGCATGAATTTCGAGGACAAAATTCTTTTAAGAAGGAGAGGATGTGATGACCCAGAAAATTATTTTTCTCACCTCCCAACTATTTGAATTTTTTATTTAAACTATATTTTTATAAAGTTTGCATTCATTCAGTGATTTACTTGTTAATTGATAAATGAGTTTCTTTTACTTGTTTCTTGTAACCTTCGACTGATTAATTTCTTAAAAATTGTTAATTTCATGAATTATTAGCGAATTTGGCCAAAACCCTAGAAGGATGTGAGGGCTCTAAAAATTTTACTAATTTTTTAAGGGTAAATAATAATGATGAAAATATTTAAATTATCTGATTTTGCTAAATTCTTGGTATTCTCATTTATTGAAATGTCATTTTCCAACTTAGTTGAATTGATATTAATAATTGCCCGATTATCGTTTGGTTAGCATTAAGTGTGAAATTTTGAAGTGGTGACGTGGAATTTAGTCTTAAGATGAAATCTAGAGCATGTAGAGACTTTAAAGAAATAGAAAAATGATAGGATAATGTTGGTAGAGAAAAATTTAGTTTTGGATAAGAGGTCGCATGAGAAGGCGACACATAAGCAAGTAGGTGAGGTGGTCCCCTACCACACTTAAAAGGAAGAAACTAAACTTGAGAGTTCATTCTCTTTTTTTCCTTTGAGCCAACCGAAATTTTAGAGAGAGAGGGAGACTTGAGAGCTCTCCATTTCCTCCTCCATCTTGCTCTTGAAGATCACTTAAGAACCTATCACCCACCACAATTTTTCCTCTTCTTTTTCTTCTTTTCTTGTTGAGGGAGAGAGAGAAAGTCAAGAGAGAGAGAGAGAGAGACCAAGAACGTAGGGGGATACGGGGCGGGAACGGTCATCAGATTGACCGTTCCCAAGCGGTCTCCTCACAAGCAGAAAGGAAAGGCAAGAAATGAACCACGTCAGCAGACTTCCAAAACGACGTCGTTTCAATATAAATGAAGGGAAAAAAAATAGATGACTGTGTTGACCGTAACGGACCGTCAGCACCAATGGCAAGCAAAGTCCCGCCTAAAATGAAACGTTCCCCAAGAAGAGCCCCACTTACACTCCCTCCCAAAGGAAGCGGTTGCTGAAATTAACAAATGTAAAAAAATAGGGCAAGATTGGAGTGGATGAACTAAAAGAGGAAACTAGAAGACGGGCAACAAAGTGCGACATTGGCAAAAGTTGTGGAACAGCGGCATCGTTGAAGGAAAATAAGAGCAAAGAGAAGGAAGAAGTGGTGGCGGAAGTAAAAGTTTTTGGTGATTGAGGTTTAATAAAAGAAGAAGAAAGTTGAACCCAAGTTTGAAAGTGGAAGATCGTGGGATTCGAAAGTAGTGAACGACCACAAATCAGTCAAGTAAGTCATGAGGAAGCCTAGAATGATATAGTAATGCATGTAATTTGACCAAAAAGTGGAAAAACCTTACTTTTCTGGATGTTGTTGGTGTACACTATGATGATTGTACAGAGGGATGGCACACATGCAAAATTTTGTGTATAGTAATTGATAAGTGCAGCGTGATAGGAGCATTACGTGTTAGCCTTTGATCGTCGAAACAGGATAGTGGGAAAGGAGGGGAAAATGTTGCGGCACAACCGCTTGAGAAAATGTGTGCATGGATTTGGGAGGGAGTTCGTAGGTGTAAAAATTTGGTGTACGTTCTAATTACTATATGCTGAGTAGATGTACAATATGTTGAGTGTGTGATACACTGCGTTATCAAATAGTCACAAGATAATTCAGTGAAGGATGGGTCATACAGCATGTTGGCTAAAAATTATGTTATGGTATGTGAGAAAAAAGTGACATGGAGAAACATTGATATGGCGTGTTAAGTGTAAAGTATTAACATAAGAAACGTTAGTTTGGGATGGGTATGTTGTATTTGATATTTCAGATCTGTATGTCTAGTGTAGCAGTTGGTGTGTATGAGCACAATGTTGGCTAAGTCTTACTTTTTGCGGACTAACAGGCACAGAGAAGAAATGGAGTACAAATATTAGTGTAAAATTGGTATGTCGTATTTTGATCGTCATTACTGTATGTCTATTATATTAGTTCAAGTGCATGAATACAATGTTAGATAAGTCATACATGTTGTCCTTTAACTGTTACATGGTTTGGATTAACAGGTACAGGACAGAAAGAGAACATAAATGTTAGATTGAAAATGGAATATGGTATTTGGGACTGCATTGATGTATGTTTATTGTAATAGGTGTTGTGCATGAACAAAATGTTGGATAAGTGTTACATGGTGTGGATTAACAAGTACAGAGAAGAAACAGAGTAGAAATGTTAGTGTATAATTGGTATGTCATATTTGATACTTCGTTGGTGTATGTTTATTGTATTCGTTGCTATGCATAAACACAATGTTGGATAACTGTTACATGTTGTGGATTAACAGGAATAGGACACAAATAGAATAGAATTGATCGTTTGAATTTTATATGTCGTATTTGGGTCATCATTGGTATATGTTTATTGTATTAGTTTATGTGCATGAACACAGTGTTCCATAAGTGTTACTTGTTGTAGATTAATAGGCACAGAGAAGAAACAGAGTAGAAATTTTAGTGTCAAATTGGTATGTCTTTTCTGGATATTCATTAGTGTATGTCTATTCTATTAGTTCACGTGTATGAACACAATGTTGGATAAGTCATCAATGTTGTTGGATAACTGTTACATGGTGTGGATTAACAGGAATAGAACAGAAAGAAAAGAGAAAAGGTTAGATTGAAATTGGAATGTCGTATGTGGGACTACATTGATGTATGTTTATTATATTAGTTCTTGTGTATGAACAAAGTGTTGGAAAAGTGTTACATGGTGTTGGATAACTGTTACATGGTATGGATTAACAGGCACAGGCCAGAAAGAGGAGAAATGTTAGATTGAAATTGAAATTTGCTTCCATTTGAAACTGCATTGATGTATGTTAATTGTATTAGTTCTTTTGCATCAACAAAGTGTTGGAAAAGTGTTACATGGTGTGGATTAACAGGCACAAGCCAGAAAGTGAAGAGAAATGTTAGATTGAAATTCAAATTTGCTTCCATTTGAAACTGCATTAATGTATGTTAATTGTATTAGTTCTTGTGCATGTTCACGGTTGTGTTGGATAAGTGTTACATGGTGTGGATTAATAAGTACAGAGAAAAAATAGAGTAGAAAAGTTAGTGCGTAATTGGTATGTCGTATTTGAGACTTCGTTGGTGTATGTTTATTATATTCATTGCTATGTATAAACAGGATGGCACGGATAAGAAGCAAAAGACGGAACAAGAGTTTAGACGAAAATGAAGGAATAGAGGCAGCGGGGACAAGTGAAGTTAGACAACCAGTTCCACCGCTGAATCCGTGGATGAAGTTTAGGTAATGTTGGTGTTTATTAAAAATAATAATGATGAGTAGAATGCACAGTTAATTGGTTAATATTGAATGTGTGTAGGAAGGAGTATCAAAGCACCGTTCCAGCGAAAGGCATTAAGATAACAGAGGTACGCATAAGAACTAAATAAAACATTAATTTGGAAAGTTGGGGCGCGGTAAAAGTAATCAACACAATCAGAAAAGGGTTAATATCAGAAACCTCCCTCTTGGTTTCTTAGAATCGCACCTAGCACCCTCCATGTTATCAAAATCACACTTAACACCACTGGAATGACAACTTTGATGTCATTGTCAGCCCCTCTATTTGAAAATAGTAATAAAAAATGAAGTATAGGAGAGAGACTCTATTTTTGTTCCTCTTTTATCCATAACCCAAAATGAGTATACTTCGTAGGAGCAAAACAGGTATAAATCTTGATTTTTAGTATACGTAAATGATCATATAATAAATAATAGGATAGCATCAGGGTTGTAATAGGATTTGTATGAAACTGTAACCGAATTTGTTATTTTGTAGACCATGGAGTACGACGATATGTATCGTTTGGAGAGATGCGAGGTAAATAAGGTTGTTAGATCAATCATCCTTGAATAGGGTAACACGTTTTGAAAATTTTGTAATTTTGTGTAACACATTAGTGTACATATGGGTACAATACGTAATAATCGTATCTCTTATGATAGGTTTTACGGATAGTTCAATTAGAGTTACAATTTGTAAAAAAATATAACATAATTCAGAATAGTTATCAAAAAATTCTTAAAAGAATTTTCTGATTTTTTTTATCTGTTTTGGTATACAGTTTTGTTCTTAGTTTTGTAGTGGAGTATTGGTCTCCGTATACTGCATAGATTATTTTTAAATTATGGCCATTCAACTTTAGTTGTGGTATAACATTATTTATCCAGATTTTTTTTTGCCTCTGAATGAGTTAAGGTTATTTGTGGCATGGGGTAGATGTTGGTGATTTTTGAATAATTTGTTATCTTTTGATTAGGATAATCTGTCACATCCCACTGCCAGGGGTGCTAGGTGTGATAATATTAATTTGAGAGGTGTCAGATGTGATTAGAACAAAAGTCAGGGGAGGAATTATACTATTAACCCATTAGAAAATGATGATGACATTAGGAATGATTAACGATTATATGCATCGAATGCAGTATAATAAAATGGTCAAAGCAACATATGATAAATTGAGCGAGGAAGAAGTACAGAAGCGAAAAGAGAACTATTGGAAAGAAAAAGAGGAGTATAAGAGAGAAATGACGCGACTTGGAAAGACTATACCGCCAATAAAGCAGTATAAGGTAAGCACAAAGCATGGATGAAGTTTAGGTTTGTATGTAATAATCTGTGTATGACTAACTAAGTTTTTCGCTTGAATTTGATTATAGAATCCGAAGTACACCATTCGTTGTTCACCAAATCAGATGGTTTGGTTAGCATCGAACATTGATGAAACAAAAAAACAGCAAATCAGAGATATGGGGTTTGGAGGGCTGCTGGAAATACAGTGTCGCTCCATTCCGAACGGCATAGGAACCTGGCTGGTCGACAATTTTAATCCTACACTAAGCAGCTTTCAATTACATGGAGATGGTTTGCTACCCCTAACAGCAAAAGACATCGGTTTCATCCTTGGAATCCCAAATGATGGCCCCTTACCAGTTGAAGATGCTGATAGCAGTGAGGGTGGAGATTCTGGACCAAGTCGCCGAACATACAAATGGAAAGAGCTGCCGGAGGAGTTAGTATCCATGAGCAGTGGGGACGAGTTCAAGCGACTATTTGTTGCATTTGCTTGTGGATGTCTATTGGCTCCAACTACACGGGCTGAGCATAAAATCCGGCTATGGGGTTGCACGAAGGTGGTTACTGAGGTGGCCTCATTAAACTGGGCCCAGTACATTAAAAATGTACTATACAATAGGATATTAGAAGTGCAGAAGAAAAGCGGAAAGCAGCACCATTATGTTGGGGGCTGCATCTTTGTTCTACTGGTAAGTTTAATTACACGTTATTGAAAGTTAGTAAGTCATTTAACTAGTAGGGGATGCAACGATTTTGAAATTTTAATTAGGCACATGAAGGTTGTTTATGCAACGTACATATTATGATATGATTAGTGAGTATGAAGGACGGGAATGAGGATTGTCGAACATTAGATATAAATAAAATTTTGAAATTCGTGATACATATATTGTTTGCAAATGATATAAATGATGAGTCAGTCGCCAATTGGCTTGCAGGTGCATTACCTCGATCGAGTGACAATACTAAAGCATAGAGTGGCTCGAGTTACACCAAGAGCAAAGGCATGGACAGATGCTTTAATTTCACAGCGGGATGCATTGGAGATCGATAATCTCGGAGGTTATGGAAAAGGAAAACTAGTAAGAGAGATAATTATTTTTTTGCTTGGATAAGGATTGTAACTTACTAGTTCATATGTATAAGACACACATACCATGTACTTATGAAATGATGGTTTGACTTTATTTTCGTAGATTGGGGCGCATGAAGAGGAAGAGGCTGAATCAGGTGCACAGATAAATGAACTACCCCCTGAGCTAGTTGGAATAATGATGGACAGCGGTCATCATGACATTGCTGTAAGCTGCCTAACTTTTCTTAGAAGAAAGTTCATTCTGTAATGTTGTTGCTTAAGAGCAAATGTTATGCATTTATACTGATGTTTTTGTAAGCAGCCAAACCTTCGTAACTGGGGAAAGTTATCTTGTCCGATACAATCATGATAAATCTTCCATGACCGCATACAATCATTTTGCGTTTGCTATGCATAACATACAAAAATAGGAAAGTTTGTTGTAAGTGGAGTTTGGGACAAATAAGTACACCCAATCGTTTGTTAAGCTTTGTAAAAGGTGGCAACATTTTTCAAATACCGGTCACAAATAACACTATTGTTGTGATCTAAGCTAGGTACATTTCTTGCATAGAACAGATCGTGTCGTATTTTCCATATTCTATGACAGAAAAGAGCAGTGAAAAAAATTCTCGCATATTATTCATGCAAAATATAAAAGTAACTATCATAACCTCATTCGATTCGAGTGGCAAATACAGCTGAAGGCATTTTCACATATAACTAGATATTCATAACTTAGTCATGAAAAATATTTCACCAATTGAAAGTGAAAAGGCAGATTTAGTGAGATCCACAAGGAAGTAATACACATCAATGCATAATTTCCTATTCATCTGTTCTGGATTAAGTCGAAACGAGCTATTCATTATAGTTTGTTAATGTATAAGCAGGCTGAGCTTTTAGAAGTGTACAGTATGACAGTGAATTGTCAAAGAAGGATATTAAAGATTGCAGAAATATTGTGTTCTCATCCTAGGGCCAAAGCAGCAGCAACAGAGGTCGTTTCAAAGAAAAAGCAGAAACAGAGGCTGTCTGATTCAGAGCACATACATCTTGATATGGAAAGCGAAGATTATTCAGAATATCAATCGGCTGAGGATGGAAAGGACTCCAAAGATCTCGATGACGGTGATAGTGAAAAAGAACAAGATGCCGGTGGTACTGCCGATGACATTGTGACGTCAATCAGATCAATAGATGAGACTGAACCAACAAATCGGCAAGCAATAGGGCAGAAGACGGTTGAAAAAGAGCAAAGTGGGAGAACTAGTGATGGAAAGGAGGCAGAAAATGATGGCATCACAGGTGATGGAAAGGATATTTCATTCAGTGGAAACAAGGCAAATGATACCCCACCAATTGGCCAACCTGATTCACGAGACGTTGAAGTACATACTGACCATATAACAAGCATTTCTGGCCGCATTACGGATGAAGCCACACAACATATGCAGCATGATTGCTCAACAGGTCCCATACAAATTGAGCATCCTTTGGATGGGCCAAACACACCGAGAAGGTTGCGGTCTTATAGTCGCAAAAGGAAAGGTTAGTAAACTTGGTGGCTGTCAAGAATTTGATATACGAATTTCCATGAATTTATTGTATTATGTTCTGTCGACTGTAAACCCTGATACCGTTGAGGCTGAATTATTGCGTAATGCATTTTAGTTTTGCATATCAATTGAAGAGTACTTGGCTGATCGTAATAGGTTTTTGAAATGGCAGTAACTAAATCAATTCTGTCACTGTGTTGTGAATAAACAGGTCATCGACATGTTTGCCCGGCATATCAACTGGGGCGGGGCGACTAGCACAACCAGTAGAGTCAAACGCTATATTGTCGAGCCTATAGCAGTTGTAAGCATTAAAATTGTTGTTGGCTAATGGCAAGTTATTCATTAAACTATTATGAAAATTTCGCACAAATGCATGTTATAATCTTATACTAATTCTGAAAATCACCGTTAACACTTATATTCCCTTGTACTGATTATTAACAGGATTGCATCCTGAATCTTCGAAAATTCGATGCACAGTCGGATGACATCCTAACTGCTAAGCTTATGAAGTTGTTCAAGATCCGCGGCCCGGATAATTCGGCTAATCCTTCCAAGTGTCAGTTGGTATGGACATAATCTTATCGTAACTATTGCTGAATTTGTATTTATTGGCAAATTATTAGTAAACATGAAAATTATGGTAGTTTACCATTGAAATGGTTTTTGCTCTGCATCAGATTCTTGTCCCTGTCTGCGTAGATAGTTACTGGTTCGTGTACTCCTTCCATGTCACGCATCACGTAGTCCATCTGCTAGACTCTGACCCACAACAAGCAAAAAGCAAAGATATTACAGTTCTAAAGCGTTTGGTATGATTGTTTATGGGAATAGTTCATTGATTTTTATCATATGTTGAGTTACTTGACCGTGTTTCGTGCAGCAACGTGGCCTCAGACTGATAATGACAGCTAAATTTGGGATGAAAATTGACTTTGCAAGTTTCAAACTCGAAGTTGCTGATGTCCCTCATCAGTCACCCGATAGCTGGTATAATATCGGATCTTCCATGTCCTTTTCCCCGATAGCTTATCACTGCAATGGTGTACTACCATCACTTTACTATATTATCCTTATTCCTGAGAAGATTCATGTTGATCTGACCAGGTTCGATAGTGGAGTTTTCACGATGACCTTTCTTGAACACTGGAGTGGAAGATTGGCTATGCGAATTACAAAGGTGTGGTCACGTTTTGTAACTATCTTTGTACGTAATTGTGGCAATAAAATGGTTAATAAATTGGACTTAATCGTGGTGCTGATTATCAGAGGTGAAATTGTGGCAGGAAAATATTACGAAGTATCGAATGCTGTACACCGCGCGGCTTTGTAGTTCGGAGCATAATACAAAGTTTGTAGACACTATTTCCGCCATGCTTGGGAGTAAATAGTAAATGGTTGCAAGAGCATCTTCAACAGGGATGTAATTTGTTGTTTCTGCTATGCATAATAGCAAAGGATATTTTTTGAAACAGTTACTGATTTTGTTTTTCTGGACACATTAGCGCCAATATTTGCACATACTTGTAATTTAAGTTAGGTTTTGAGTTGTCACTAGAATATTGTCAGTAATAACATTAGCCGAACATTAATTGTTTTAAATCTGTCTGTGACTTTTTGCTAACTACTTGTAATACCGGCACTACGAAGATTATGGACAATGAAGAGCAGTGGCAAAATTCATGACTTATTAGAAACACGTTATGACACTGATAGTGCCATTGCTCGTTTTTATCGCCTTCACGCTTTGTACGCAAGGATTATTAATTGACATGGATTGGTATATATCTGCTTTCGTAGTTGAAAGTGTGTTACATAGAGCACGTAAAAAGTTACACATACTGTTGTTGTATAAGACATCTTGAATCTTGCGCAAGTTTATAACTTTCACCTGATCGCACTTTATATTAGTCAGACTGGTAATAAATTGCATCAAATATTAGAGATACTAGTTTTGGCCATTTTCAACAGCGCGTAACTTTGGTTGCACACGGCGTAACTTTGTTTGCACCACGTGTAGCTTTAGTACAAAATTTTGTGGGTCCCACACACGGTGGAAAAATCGATGTCCAACTTGTGATCTGGATCGCACAATTTGTTGATGCCAAATTATGGCCATTAACAGCTCAGGCGAGGTCATTCTTGCCCCGTTTTCAGTGTTTAATATACTGACCCCTGTTACAAAATTTCTCGTCTAACCGTACTTTACTCAGAGGCCCATTTCATACTCTCATTTTATTGACATTGGACCAAAGCTCAAACTGTAATGGTTACCTTAACAATTAGTTGCACGTATACTAAAGCAGAAGAATCACCCCTTTTTTTTAGGGATAATTTCAGATATTTAGAGGTGAGGTTTCTGACAGCCTCACTCTCCTCTCCTGTAATTTAAAAAATATCATAAACCTCCCCTGTCAGAATTTTAGGTCCCATTTCTTACATTATCATGGCCAAAAAGACTTAAATACCCTCACAAGTTAGCTAATATTTCGTGATTATCAGTACAAATTTGGTGAAGTTAGTTATAAACACAATTAATCTAATTAACGATAAATTAGAACCTTTAACCAATATAAAAACAGGCAAGTAACTAACATATAACATAATGTACATGTTTGTAAACTTATTGTACCTTATAGATCACTCCGAGTAAGGTGTTTATAGTTAAATCAGTATTAGTCATATAGAGAAGGGTGTTACATACCTACTGCAACTTGCAAGGAAAAACACCAATTTTTTGTGCCTGTTTCATATGAGATTAACTCACTAATGCAAGATAATCAGGGTATTCACAGTTATATAGCTGTTTCTCTCTCCAACTACCCATTTTTTATTGTTTGTATTTTTGAATAGGGTCTACTTTGAGACTGCTTATTTAGTTTTAGGAGAAGTTTGTGGCATTTTTGAAACCACAGGGGAGGGAAGTGAGACTATCAGAAATCTCAGGGGAGGTATATGAAATTATCCCTTTTTCTTTATATAAGCCACAGTAACGCTTTGTACATTAGCACCGGCCCGTAGCTGTTGTTAAGTTCCTTTGACAATAACAGCACCAATTTTTCGTAACAGGTTAGTAACTCCACGTAACAATGTTCGAATATGTGGTACCGCCGCTTTAACGCTTTCTACGTTATCACTATGCACTTTTTACTCCATGGTTGCTAGTTTATATCTGAGACTGGCCACATTTTAACTGCCACCTGTGTGAATCATCACGATCAACACACAACCATCCCCATTATTTCATCCACTCACCCATTCTCTAATCATAGGCCCGAAACGAGTTTTACATGATTTAGATGTCTTCATCTATCAATGTTGGTGGCGGAAGTAGCGAATTAAGGTACCAATATCGGTACTGTAACTGTGGAAAAAGGGCTAACCTGAAGATCGTGGAGTCACAGAAACCGACGAAGGGGTTGCTGTACTTCGTCTGTGAAGGAAAAACTTGTGCTTTTTTCGCTTGGTGTCATCCAATAGGGAGGAATCATGAGCAAGTTCAGGCTAACTACTGCCCTCCCTCACCTAATCGACAAGCAATAAGTAGAGAAAGCTCCTTCGACAGTCCCGAAACAGTGCAAAATGAACCAAACTCTTTCCCGTATGATGTGCACCGAATCGAACAACATATTCGACAAATGAAAACCTTCATGACGATATCGGTAGCGATCGCCTTTCTGTTGCTCCTAATTGCAATTTATCGCTG